AAGACTAAGAAATTGATTCTAAACACGCTTGAATAAATTCTTGAAAATGTTTTGTCTAGTTAGAAGGAACTCTTTTACAAGAAACAGAGATAAATAGAGGGACGGACCTAAATTTCTCTACAAGAAACTATTTTGTTAATTCATTTGTTATCGACTGTATCAAGGCATACTTTAGAGGCTCTTAATGTTAAGCGACCTTCGGAATTGAGATTTTATCATGCAAATGTAAATTTTCAACCATTTATGTGTTGGGGAAATCATTTTTTATTATGTGACAAAGAAACTTACAAAGAAAAACATTGTATTGGCTATGCTCCCGTTTGGTAACAATTTTTCATCCCAAAAAATTATTTTTTGACCGTTATGTTATTATTTCAGCTGCCATATTTTACTTTTTCACTTAAAGGTGAAACCTCTTTTTCTCTTTAACGATCAAAAAATCAATTCTCATCATCAATGCCGAAAGGCCCTATATCTAGTTTGGTTGAGGTCATTGCCACTGTGTGGGTCCAAAAAGCAGGAAAACCCCTATATTCCATTTCTTAATTGTAACATAATACAGAGTTTAGCTAAGTAGCTGTTAATTTGCTGTTCTGGCATGCTTTGATTGGATGCAAACAGTTTAATGCAAAAGGACGCTGAAAAATGTTACTGATAAGAGACTTTGGGCAGTTGTAGTCTGTCCATTTACTTAGTTTTCTGCTAAAGATGGATGTCACTTCCTATGTTCAGAAACTGAGATAAACAACATAAAAGAAAATGTAGATAGCACTATTCAAGTTCCACTCTTTCATTCTCATTAATTATACTGGAAATGGAGCCCCAATAGTGCTACTTGCATTACAAAAAGAAGGGAGATGGTGGGGTGGATGGGTAGGGGGACTGGCTGAAATCCGAAGAACGCCTATGGCTAACTCTTCTTTGTTTTCTTGGAGGAGGTAGCGTTCTTCTGATGGATAATATCAAGCAAAACGGTGCTTTTGCATTTGGGGCATTTGGGGTCCTCTTCTGCTAGCATGACATACATAAGACAACGAGGACACCCTACCAGCACCATGGATGTCGCCTCTGGGCTGTTCGAGTAAAAGAGGGACTCTTCCGGATTGATCAGCTCAGACGACACGCAGGAACTCGGTGGAGATGTCGATGATCGACCGGGAGATTCGACTCGTGCCCAGTTCACCCTTGGTGGTGACAAATTCAACTTGAGGTCAAGTTTCGGTCCGTTCCTTCGACTCATGGCTTTCTTTTCCAAGAATTTCTGTTTTTCACCTGTCTAAATTAGAATTTGGAACAATATATAACATAATCAAAGTAAAAGCCTTAAAAGAATTATTAATAAGCCGCCCTGATCATACACACCTTGAGATGAGAAGGGCTCTTGTAATTCTTCAGGCGGAGGAGGGTGGTGGAGAGCGGTGGCTATGCGGCGGTGATGATCACCCGTTTTAGCTACTGCAATACCACTAACATATTCTAGTTGAAGAGGCTGAGGTTGCTGGTTTTAGACTTCTANGTGATGATCACCCGTTTTAGCTACTGCAATACCACTAACATATTCTAGTTGAAGAGGCTGAGGTTGCTGGTTTTAGACTTCTAAGGCCATTATATATAAGAGGGGCGAGATGGGACTGCTTTAAAGCTTAATTAAATTATGGTGAGAGGTAGAGAGAATTGAAATCAATTGAATTGTATCGAAGAAGGAATGGTAGAAGAAATGGGAAAACTGTAGTAAATATTACAACCACATCAATATTAAATTCCAATATTTCTTGATCATAGATGTTCGAGAATATTCTATCATGGGTCCCCAACATATTGTTCAATTTGCAAGTCGATCTTTGATCTTTGCACGGGCGACTTTCGAAAGTCTCCTAACTTAAATAGCTACCCTAACTCCACCCGCCTTGTTACTATCTATAGGATAAAATTGCCAAGACGAAACTCTGATGGACCATTTGATGATGTTGGTTACGCTAGTTTAACAAAGTTTTAGAAAGTCGGTGTTGTTAAGGATTTGTGAGACTATATATAAAGTTTGGGACCAACTTGAAACTCTGGCTATAGGTTGGGGACTAATAGCAAACTTTTTCATAAATGTTCATTTGAATTTTGAAAGCGAAGATAGTTTATTGTTATTCATAACACTTCATGTGTAGATTGCTTTTTAATTTGTGATGTTGGCATCTTAAATTTAGTTTTCAATTGGCCCAATGCAATTAAATGTTTTCAATATATCATTTATTTTGATTTTGTAGTATAACTATGCGGGTTGAATTTCAAAATGTTTAATAAGTTTATTTAAGTAGGATATTGGTATTTAAGGACTTGGTCGGTATAATTCCTTTTTACTTCTATTTCTTATTAAAAAATTCAGAAAGAGTTACCTTAAATCAACTTCTTCCAAAGCCTCTTCTAGTCGAAAATTATTCACATACTTTCAAAAATAACTTTTCAATATGAGAAATTTTTTTCACTTTTCAAAAGTCAAGTCAAATGAACTCTAAATATGATTATTAATATATCTCTCCTTTTTCTTTAGTTTTAAACTTCATTTAATAATACAAAGCCATCTTTAATTAAGTTTATGAAGGTCCATTGTCATTCATCAAGTTGAACAAAGTGTTGCGTGTGATTTGGTCATGCAAATTGCAAAATACATATTTGTATTTGTCTATATATCAAATGGTGTGTGTTTGTGTGTTTCAATTAGGGCTAGACACCAAAAATAATTAAGGGGGACCCAACATAAATATCCTATGATATTTTTCATTAAAATACATGGAAGCATAGGTGGGAGACCACACCTTTTACTAAAGGATTCATAAATCGTTGAATAAACTTATGGGTAGAAAAGAATTTTCAAAATTTATATTTGGTGGCTTTAAATAAAATAGTATAGTTTGTTACCATGCCCTCCTACATTTATTCGTTGTGCCCTTAAAAGCAACTTAGTTTTACTTTTAAGTTATTTTTTTTATGGAAACATAATTTTTAAATTTACTTTTTTTTCCTAACAAAAATGTCTATTACACTTTTAATTTGATGAGAATATACAAGACCATGGACAAATTTCATTTGCATGCTTCTTTTTGAATTTTACGTCATGTTTTTAACGTATCAATCACATTAACACACAATTTGAAATCAATTTTGTCCGTTTAACCTTGCATGTCAACATTGGATCATTTAAAGATTAATGTGTTCTCACCAACAATGTTTTCATTGTCAAACTAACTTGATCGTAACTTGATATACAAATTTCAACTAAAGTTTGGAAAATAACGCGCTAGCTAAGCCATCAATTCATGTGAGTTTTGAGTTCTAGTCTTCTAGAACACGTAAGGACCCATCTGAAAGTTTTTTTAAAACCACACAATAATTATAATTTGCGAAGGTTGAAAAAACAAAATATTGTAAATTGACATATTTTCTTTTGTTATTTTTGACGTATAATTTCCAGAATATTAAAACAATTCAGTATATATCAAAATTTTATTATAAAAACTAGGTAGAGGGCCTAATTTCCTTAAAGAGTAAATTACACCTAACCATAATTTTCGAACTATCATTTCAAAAATCAGATTTTAACTTCATTCTTTCAAATATTAGGGATACCCTATCCATCCCAACATTACCTTTCTTCTTTATCGCTACAGAAATTTTTCTTCCCAAAAAAGGAGCCCCAATCGAAATCAAACCATTCATCGCTAACAAAGCTACAGTTCCACCATGCAAAAGCATCGTGCTGTGCGCAACAGTGATGGGCACCCGTTGTGCATCGTAGTGATGAGCATCACCACTACACTCACGGCGCATATCATCCTTCGATATATCTCTGATCTGATCTGCTTAATCGCTATTTAGCTGGAGATTTAGGACAGTTTTATTAGTGGTAGTTGGTGATTTGCAAATAATGGTAATTGTTTGCAGTTGGTAGGTGGTGGTAGTGATGGCAACGGGGCGGGTTTGGGGCGGGGCACCCTCATCCCGCCCCGTCTAAGGCCGGGGCAACTTTTTGCCCCGTTTAATTTTTTTTATTTTTTTTATTTTTTTATTTATTATTTATTATTATTATTATTATTATTATTATTTTTTACATTTTGAAAGTTTCGAATTATGTTATTATTAAAGAATAAAATATAAATTTAAAATAAGTTTTTAAAGGATGAATTGTTTAGAAATAAAATTATTTTTAATTTTTTTTTTTTTTTTTTACTTTTTCTTCACAGGGCGG